AAAGGAGGGCACTTGCTTCCATTGCGGTAAGACCGGACATTGGAAGAGGAATTGCCCAAAATACCTGGAAGATAAGAATAATGGAGTAGAGACTTCAAATTCAGGTATTTTTGTTATTGAAATTAATTTATCTACTTCTGCATCATGGGTATTAGATACTGGATGCGGTTCTCACATTTGTACTAATGTGCAGGGGCTAAAAAGGAGTAGAGATTTGGCAAAAGGTGAAGTTGACCTACGAGTTGGCAATGGAGCAAAGGTTGCTGCTTTAGCTGTAGGAACTTATGTTTTAACTTTACCTAGTGGTTTAATAATTCAGTTAGAGAACTGTTATTATGTACCTGCAATTAGCAGGAATATTATTTCCGTTTCTTGTTTGGACAAGTTTGGTTTTTCATTCATAATAAGGAACAATTGTTGCTCCATTTATTTGAATGATATATTCTATGCTACTGCAAAAATGAATAATGGACTATATGTCCTTGATCTTGAAATGCCAATTTATAACATTAATACTAAAAGGTTGAAACCTAATGAGTTGAATCCAACTTACCTTTGGCACTGTCGATTAGGCCACATAAATGAGAAACGCATTTCCAAACTCCATAAAGATGGACTCTTGGACTCTTTTGATTATGAATCATATGAGACATGCAGATCTTGTTTAATTGGAAAGATGACAAAGTCCCCATTCACAGGAAAAGGTGAAAGGGCTAATGATCTTTTGGCACTCATACATACTGATGTATGTGGACCACTGAACATACCAGCCAGAGGAGGTTTTCAGTACTTCATCACTTTTACTGATGACTTCAGTAGATACGGATATGTGTATTTAATGAAACACAAATCTGAGTCCTTTGAAAAGTTCAAGGAATTCAAGAATGAAGTACAAAACCAACTAGGTAAGAATATTAAAGTTCTTCGATCAGATCGAGGCGGTGAATATTTAAGCCTAGAATTTGATGACCATCTAAAAGAGTATGGGATTCTATCCCAACTTACTCCTCCTGGAACACCATAATGGAATGGTGTATCTGAGAGAAGAAATCGAACCTTGTTAGACATGGTCCGATCCATGATGAGTCACGTCGATCTTCCAAACTCCTTTTGGGGACATGCATTATTAACAGCAGCTTACACACTTAACCGTGTTCCATCCAAAAAGGTTGATAAGACACCATATGAGATATGGAGTGGTAAGAAACCACATATGTCTTACATGAAGATTTGGGGTTGCGAAGTTTACGTCAAACGACAAATTTCAACCAAGCTTGAGCCCAAATGCTTATTTGTGGGGTATCCTAAAGAAACAAGAGGATATTACTTCTACAATCCTTCTGAAGGCAAAGTGTTTGTCGCTCGAACTGGAGTCTTTCTGGAAAGGGATTTTATTTCCAAAGGAAACAGTGGGAGGAAAATAGAGCTTGAAGAAATTCAAGAATCACAAAACATTGAAACACCTATGGAGGAACTAGAGCGGGAAACACAAGTAGTTGTGGAAGAGCAACCTGCTCAAGTAGAACAAGACCAGCGTAGGTCAAGCAGGATACGTCACCAACCTGAGAGATATGGATATCTCATAAGTGATCAGGGTGATGTATTACTCATGGATCAAGATGAGCCTGTGACCTACAAAGAGGCCATAACTGGTCCTGAGTCTGAGAAGTGGCTAGAAGCCATGAAATCTGAAATGGATTCCATGTACACAAACCAGGTTTGGACCTTGGTAGAACCTCCTATAGGAGTTAACCCTATAGGATGCAAGTGGGTCTTCAAGAAGAAGACTGACATGGATGGTAAGGTACATACCTATAAAGCAAGACTGGTTGTAAAAGGCTATAAACAAATTCATGGGGTTGACTATGATGAAACCTTTTCACCAGTTGCAATGCTTAAATCTGTTCGGATTTTACTTGCCATCGCTGCATATCATGATTATGAAATATGGCAGATGGATGTCAAAACTGCTTTCCTTAATGGGAATCTTCTTGAGGATGTGTACATGACACAACCTGAAGGATTTGACATACCACAAGATGCCCAAAAGATATGCAAGTTACAGCGATCAATCTATGGATTGAAGCAAGCTTCCAGAAGCTGGAATCTTCGTTTTGATGAAACCGTAAAACAATATGGATTCATCAAAAATGAAGATGAACCTTGTGTCTACAAGAAGGTTAGTGGGAGCATGATCGTGTTTCTGGTATTATATGTAGATGACATATTACTCATTGGAAACGATGTCCCTACCTTGCAACAAGTGAAGACTTGGTTAGGGAATTGTTTTTCTATGAAAGACCTAGGTGAAGCAGCCTATATATTAGGAATTAGGATCTATAGAGATAGATCACAAAAACTGCTTGGCCTAAGTCAGAGTACATACATAGATAAAGTGTTGAGACACTTTAATATGCATGATTCCAAGAAAGGATTCATACCTATGCAACATGGTCTGTGTTTATCAAAAACACAATCCCCTTCAACTAAGGAAGAAAGGGATCGCATGAATAAGATTCCATATGCATCTGCAATAGGATCTATCATGTATGCCATGTTATGTACTCGACCAGATGTCTCGTATGCATTAAGTGCAACGAGTAGGTACCAATCTGATCCCGGTGATGCTCACTAGATAGCTGTCAAGAATATCCTTAAGTACTTGAGAAGGACTAAGGATTCATTCTTGATATATGGAGGTCAGGAAGAGCTTGATGTAATTGGTTACACTGATGCTAGCTTCCAGACAGATAAGGATGATTTTAGATCACAATCTGGTTATGTGTTCTGTCTCAATGGTGGCGCTGTGAGCTGGAAAAGTTCAAAGCAAGAAACAGTTGCTGATTCTACAACTGAGGCCGAGTATATTGCTGCCTCAAATGCAGCAAAGGAAGCTGTTTGGATCAAGAAGTTCATTAGTGAACTTGGCATAGTCCCTAGCATTGTGGATCCCATTGGTTTATATTGCGATAACAATGGTGCTATCGCACAAGCTAAGGAGCCTAGATCTCACCAACGATCCAAACACATACTTAGGCGTTATCACCTCATTCGAGAGATAATCGATCGGGGAGATGTGAAGATATGCAGAGTACCTACACTTGACAATATCGGTGACCCATTAACAAAGCCTCTTGCGCAACAGAAGCATGATGGTCATACTAGATCTATGGGTATTAAGGGTATGCCTAATTGGCTCTAGTGCTAGTGGGAGATTGTTGGTGTAAGCCCTAGAGGCCAATACTTTTTGGTACTTGTATCGGATTATTCGTTTAATAATAAAAGGCATTTCTTTATTATGTTTGTCTTTCAGAATAATAAAGTCCCTAGAATAGTTAGTCTGTTTAATGAAATGTTAAGTGTGACTTAATCATGAGATCCCATTAAACATAAAGACATTATTCTTAAAATATCCGTAGTCAAGCTTTATTGCAAAGTGGGATAACATTAAAAGCATTGAGACTATTATGAAGATAGACTGATGATCACATCTCATGGATCATGGATAAAGAGTTATCAAGTCTTGACATAGGTATAAATATTAGGAGTAATATTTATACCGGATTGACCCGCTATGAAAATACTACATAGTATGTTATGCAAAGTGTCATAAGTTATTCTCATGGTGATAATGGTGTATTACCACCCTTCGACCTGAAACCACTATGGACCCTAGATGTAGAGTCGGGTGCTTTATTGCTGATCAAACATTATCCGTAACTGGATGATCATAAAGACAGTTGATGGGCACTCCACGAAGCATGCTGAGGGACATGAGTGTCCTAGATGGAATTTGCCAATCCTGCATAACAGGAGAAATGTCTAAGGGCCCAATATTGAACTGGACAAGGATGACACAGTGTATGCCTTGTATTCAATATAGACATAGGGGCAAAAAGGGTAGTTGTACAAACATATATTATCACGAAAAGGTTTTGTCAGATCACATGACATTTTCGTGACTTGGGTAGCAGTGATGTGTTGCTAGATACCGCTTACTGTTTATTATGTTAAATATATAATTTAATGTAATTACCAACGTTACGAAATCCTACAGGGTCACACACATAAGGACAGTTTGATGAGAGATAGAGAAATCAAAGGAACACCGTAAGGTACGGTGCACTTAAGTGAAAAAATAGAAATTCGGATAATATAATAATAATTATTGTTATTTTATAATGGTTATAAAATAATAATAAAATAAATATATTTATTATAATAATAGTTATTATAATAATATATAATATTATTATGGATCATGTGAATTGGGTTTTTAGCCCGCAGCTCACAAGAGAGTCTATAAAAGGAACCCTTGTGATGAAGCTTTCACTTGATGCAATTTCGTTTTGATTCTCTTTTCTCACTCAAATAATTTCGTTCGTAAGCAGCTAGCACTGTGACCGGAAGTTGTTCGTGTGGACTGAGTAGAGGCGTTGCACTTCATCAACGCTTGTGATCGCTGCATCAAAGATCTGAATCGCCACAAAGAGGTAACGATTCTATCACTGACCATGCTCATTCGTAAGGATCACTAAAGGAATTTTTGTTTTCCGCTGCGTTTAGATCGCGATTTTCCTTCAGAAATTATGTCACCCATTGAGCCATATCCATCACAAAATTTGAAACAAATTTTTTCGAATGATGATACTGGAACTTCATCAGCAAATGATAATAATAATTAACATATAGTTTTTTATTGATAAGAAATTTAGTTTGTTTGTATAATTAACATTATTGTGTGAGACTTATGTTTTTTTTATCCCTAATTAATGTATGAGATGACATTATTACTATATGTTTTTTGTTGTTTATCCCTAATTAATGCATGAGATGACATTACTACTATATATTTTATTGCATAAATTATCCTTTTAATTTATTGTGTTTGTGTTATGTTTATTAAATTTATAGTCACTAATATAAAATTTTGATGTTTACTACTATTAGTGTACTGTCTTTTTAATACATAACTTGCAGTTGAAGCCTTTTGTGAAACAATGATTTCATCATATGAGGAAATTCGCCTCAAAAGGATTGCAGAGAATACAAAAAAGCTAGAGGCTCTCAATCTTCCAAAGCTCTCTCAATCCCTTCACAAAACATCTTTGTCTTTTTCCAAACCATCACCGGTTAGTAATAAATTCTCAATACTAGTCTATAAAAATTAATTGTATTAATTGTTGATTGATATTCACTGATGTATTTTATTTAGTCTGCAAAGGGTCGTCCGAGGTTTGTACAACCTGGAGAGCTTGAAGTAAATAAGAAGCGCCTATGTTCAACTACAATGCGTAAATCATCAATAATCCCTCCGTCAATCAAAACTATAATAACTCTTCTGCCAATCCAAACTAAAATTACCCCTCTGCCAATTGAAACTACAATAACCCATTTGCCAATTGAAACTACAATAACCCATTTTCCAATCCAAACTGCAAAAGATGTTGTGGTAGCAGATGAGGATGAAGATGTTGTGGTAGGAGATGAGGCTGAAGATGTTGTGGTAGGAGATGAGACCGAAGATGATGTGGTAGGAGATGAGGCTGAAGATGTTGTGGTAGGAGATGAGGCTGAAGATGTTGTGGTAGAAGATGTGACTGAAGATGTTGTAAAAGTGGCTAAATTTGTGTATTGGGATGTAAATGTCATTAGTAAGTAATTTAAGGTTAAAGTATTTATAAACAATTTAATTTTTTTACATAGTTGAGTTATGACATTAATTTGTTACTTGTTTATGTGATAGATGAGGAGGGTTATGTTTCAAACACACGTTTATGTGCGAAAGACTTTGTTGCAAAATAAAAGTCTTATGGAACATGGATGATACTTGAATTTGATAAGGATCATTGTGCAATAGGACCAACTTCTGGTTTGTTAGCAGGGTATTTGGGTATAATTATTAGAATGCTTAAAGACTTTCCCATAATGTTCAAGAGTTGGAAGGATACTCCAGCGGATACAAAAACAAAGTTTTATGATTCAAAGATAAAGGTATCATTAATAAACAATTACATATTTTTAAAATTAATTCCAAGGTGATTATTATTTTCTTTGTTAACTAATTTTTATTTTTATGGTTAGCTCCACTTTCTTGTAGATGATGAGTGTGACAAAGAATTCATACTTGCTTCTGCTGCAAAGAAATGGAAGGATGACCGACATCAATTGTTTCGCCAATTTTATAGATGGGATCTCACTTTGGAGGAAAATCTTCAAAATTATCCAATATGCAGAGGCATTCTGGAAAATGATTGGGTTGTTTTTGTTCAATATAGGCGGAAAGAAAAAACACAGGTAATATTAGTGCTTTTATTTGTTAGATTTATCTGGTTTGTATGTTATCCCTATCTATAACGCATGTTTTTAATTGTTAACTATGTAGAAAATAGCCCCAAAAAATGCCCAAAAAAGAGCAATATTGAAGACTCCACATACACTCGAATCTAAGTCGCTTGCAAGGAAGAAATATGAGTTGGTATGTCTAAATCTATATAGAGTTGAACGTATTACTGATGGTAAAAATAATTAATATTTTTTCTTATTTGTAGGAATCGAGAGATGGACGAACATACAGTAGAGGAGAAATGTATGCAATTTCTCATAAAAAGTCTTATGGGTCTTTTGTCAGTGAAGATGCATACAATAATAATATAAGTACAAGTTAATTATTTTTAAGTATTTGTTAGTCTCCTTAAGTTATGAGAAAAAATTGAACCTTTTGACATCTCTTAAAAGTGGGGAGCACCTGTCTGAAAACTGGTTAAATTAGATTGAGAATTGTGATTATTTGAGTTAATTAATTAGTCTTGTAACAATAGATTGTGCTCTTTATAAAGTCAACTAATTATTCAGACAAATAGAAATAAAATATAAAATTAAGACAAGATTACATTTCATATATGATGTGTGAAAACATATAATTATACTAGCTACATACTAGTATGCCTTAGATGAGAGTAGTTGGTAACATATATTTTCACTAAAGCATAACTTTTACAAATGCATACTGAAATTGAAATTTTAAATAAATACAAGTCGTAAGAAGAAAGGTTAGCATGTATACAAATTTTACATAATCAAATACGTTATTGGAATTGAAATTTACCATCACAAATGCATATTGGAATTGAAATTTTAAATAATTCGAGCAGCCAATAAAACTTATTGGAATTGAAATTTACCATCACAAATAGATTAACTAGCTAAACCAAGTTTTAAGTTACTAAACATATTTTTTATCAATACAAATTTATTAGTTTTTGCTTATAATCATTGTTTGTTTTCCCTTAAGACGTAGAAATTTTTTTATTAGCTAGATTGAAAAGTTAAGTTAAGTTTGCTTGCTCAATTTACTCTTTTTTATGTGCAGTAAAAGTTACAAGCTGCAATTAACGATTTTGTGTCTAAAAATGAGGCATTTCAGAAAGTATTTGGAAAAGAATAACATGGATATGTTCGTAGTATGGGACTTGGAGTTACGCCATCTCATCTTAATAGATCTACAAGATCGACATCTTCTTTTGCAGAAAATGAAAAAATAAAGGAAATGCAACAAGAAGTTATTGCACTTAAAGAAAAAAATTCAAAAATTGATGAATTGATGGAGACAATCACATTCTTAAAGCAAAGAGACAATGTTATGAAAGAAGAAATTGAAGTCTTAATGCAAATGCAAAATTCTAGTGAAAGACAGGTATATTATTTGAATGAATTTAAAGTTAAAACTTATGAGTATTATTTTAATACAATTTTTTTCCAGGGATTGGAATCACCCGCTGATGGTAGACGTTCATCGAAGTCTATACTTTTTAGATTATGATACTTATTGTTATAAGATTATGATTTGATATATTTTTGATTTTTTGTATTACATGAGATGATTATGGAACTTTTATTTTACATGATTATGAAACTCAAGTTTTTTTGATATCATAATGCTTATTTGATATTAAATTTTGGAATTAATTTTACTATGTTAAAAAGCGATAGAAAATAAAATTAAAAAAAAATACTATAAATAAAAATATTATTGTATAAATAATTTAAAGAAAAAATAATATAACTATTTTAGTAGATAATAATTTTAAAAAAAGAATATATTATAAAACAATATAATACAATACATAAAAATTAATAATGATTTACACTGTTGCTAGATGTAAAAATTAAATAATTAATTGCGCTTTAAACCGTTACCAAATAAATTATATTTAAAATTTTATAAATCAAATTACGACGATTTGAACCGTCAAGATATCATATTCACGACAGTTTTAAACCGTCACAATCAACAATGGTAACAAAAATCAAAAGGATATTCACGACAGTATTTGACTGTTGTCATTTCCACTTTATGTCAGTTCCAACCCGTCGTGAAATAGAGTTCACGACAGTTTTAAACGGTCACAATCAACAATGAAAACAAAAATCAAAAGGCTAGTAACCACGATTTTTAACCGTCGTCATCTCCAGTTTAGGTTAGTTCCAGCCCGTCGTGAAATATAATGACGGTTGGTGTGGTGGTTTTGGCAACCGTCGCTAAACAGCCTGGGGACACACATTTTTGCGACGGTACTACAATCGTCGTAGAATGTAATTGATGGTGGTTTTAACCGTCGTAACCTGCCAAAATAATCGTCGTAATCCATCATTTTTCTTGTAGTGACTTCACGATGGCGAAGCGACTTTTGTAACGCTTTGAGGTTGTCAGCATTACACATGTACCCAGGGTAGAAAATCAAGAGGCAAACGATTTAGCATAAATTGCCTATGGGTACAAAGTTTAAGAGGGAAAGCTGAGAGACTTCATTGAAATTAGGGAAAAGGTGGTGTCAAATGTGCTACCATCATCAGGCTTATCAAAAGCTGGAGGGGCAAGTGTCTCGACAGAAAGCTTAATTGAAAATTTAGGAAACTGTGAAATCTTCGCTGTCAACAATCTATCACCATCAGATTGGAGAAGACCAATCATCGAGTATTTGGAAAATCCGGTAGGGAATGTAGATAGAAAGGTTAAGTACAAAGCTTTAAGTAACATCCTAATAGGGAATTAGTTGCTGAAAAAGATGCCAGAAGGGGTGTTGCTTAAATGTCTGGGAGACACAGATGCATATCTAACAATTTCGGAAGTCCATAGTGGGACATGTGAGGCTCACCAAGCTGGCCATATAATGAAATGGTTGTTGTTTCGACAAGGTTTATATTGGCCAAGCATGCTCAAGGATTGCATGGACTTTCCAAAGGGGTGCCAGGATTGTCAAAGACATGCGAACGTTCAGCACCTACCAGCCAGCAAATTACACATAAACGTCAAGCCATGACCCTTTCGTGGATGGGCATTGGATATCATAGGTGAAATTCGACCAGCCTCGTCGAAGCAGCAAAAATTCATCCTTGTGGGTATAAATTATTTCACAAAGTGAATAGAGGATGTACCTCTGGTAAAAGTAGACCAGGAGATTGTGATTGAATTTATCCAGAATCATATTTTGTATAGATTCGGGATCCCTGAAACCATCACTACGGACCAAGGTTCCGTATTTGTTGGCCAGAAGATGCAAGAATTTGCAGCAGAAACAAGTTTTAAGTTGATCACTTCAACACTGTATTATGCTCAGACAAGCGGTCAAGTCGAAGCCACCAACAAGGTAGTAATTGGACTCATTAAGAAACATGTTGTTAAGAAACCCAAGAATTGACACAAGACGTTAGATCAAAATTTATGGGTTTGTCGAACATCCCCTAAGGAGGTGACCAACTCGACTCTGTTTCGTTTGACATCGGTTATGACGTTGTTTTTCCAGCAGAGATTTGTTTACATTCAATTAGAGTGCAACGTCAACATGACATTCCGTCCACTACAAGAAAAACAATGGATTGCGACGGTTATTTTGGCAGATTACGACAGTTAAAACCATCATTAATTACATTCTACGACGGTTGTAGTACCGTTGCAGAAACGTGTGTCCCCGGGCTGTTTAGAGACGGTTGCCAAAATCGTCACACCAACCGTCGTTATATTTCACGACGGGCTGGAACTGACCTAAACTGGAGATGGCGACGGTTAAAGACCGTCGTTACTAGCCTTTTGATTTTTGTTTTCATTGTTGATTGTGACGGTTTAAAACTGTCGTGAACTCTATTTTACGACTGGTTGGAACTGACATAAATTAGAAATGACAACAGTTAAATACTGTCGTGAATATCCTTTTGATTTTTAAGTGCAGGTAAATTGTGGCGGTTTGAACCGCCGCAAATTGCGAATATTTAAAAGAAATTCTACCCAGTAATATTTTAGCTATATTATAAAAAATAAAAAATATATATATTTCTATAATACTAATAGTAGAAAATTACTAAAGATACTCTAATATAATATCAAAGATATTATAAAACCTTGATGTATCAACTAACATTAAGAAAACATAAATCACAAAAGAACTAAATTTGAAAAATCAACAAACATCTCACCGATTAAGCATCGAAGAACATGTGTCACCAAATGTTAAGTGAGTAAAAGTTATGTCAGTTGATGCAGAGCTTAAACTAATTCCCTCTTAATTATAGGAAAAGATAGCTTACATATAAGTTATAAGGTAATCACTTATTGAATAAGCACTTAATTAACTTGTATATATTTTACCATCCTCTAATCCTATCTTACATAGGACTGTAGTTGTTAATCTAATTTGAGCATAACATCTTCCATCAGATCTCTTCTAGAGGAGGATTCCTTTAGGGGCTCAAAACATTCATGCATTACAGAAAGAGCAACATTCAGTTTGCTGTAACTTTCTGCCAAT